ATTGTTTAGCAAAGTTTGAAAAACATATTTCTTTCTTCCCTGGTGACGTCACTAACCAGAAGCTGTACCGAGCTGTACATAATCGCAATAGTCAATTTGATGTATTACCAGTATAATAATAGCATTAGATAAATATAAATTTCATAATTTCCGAAATGGTGCTCAAGAGACTAATATAAAAAAATCACTGCTTCCTTGTATTTCGCATGCCTGTTTGTAACACAATCTTATGCCTGTTGATAACGCTATCGAATGCCTGTTTGTAACGCTATCGCATGCCTGTTTGTAACGCTATCGCATGCCTGTTGATAACGCTATCGCATGCCTGTTTGTAACGCTATCGCAAGCCTGTTTGTAACGCTATTGCATGCCTGTTTGTAACGCTATCGCGTGCCTGTTTGTAACGCTATCGCATGCTGTTTGTAACGCTATCGCGTGCCTGTTTGTAACGCTATCGCATGCCTGTTTGTAACGCTATCGCGTGCCTGTTTGTAACGCTATCGCATGCCTGTTTGTAACGCTATCGCATGCCTGTTTGTAACGCTATCGCATACCTGTTTGTAACGGCGCTATCGCGTGTCAATTTGTCGTTACTTGGCAAACTTTTGTAAAACAAACTTGAACTTTTTCAATTATAGATAACAACATTGTAGGATGAAAGACAAATATAAGGAAATAGGAAATGAATAATGCAAAACAAATGATAAAATATATGCAAGGTAAACATTGGTATGCTATTTGAAATTGCCGCACAGTTCATTGCATTGCAGCAATTAAGGCCTAAAACATTTTACTGTGACTAAAATGTAATTGTTGGTCTCTATCTATTACAGTTTATTAAAAATTCTGACCAAATTGCAATTTGTTTTATCAAACCAAACTGTTCAACTGGTCAGAAATTTTGACCAACTGCTGCAGAAAACCACAGTCATGTGCGCCATGAAAGTGCAAGGTTATAAAATAAAGCATATTTACAAGACTTTATTCCACTTCATTGATAAGGTAAAAATGATTCTAAGGATTTCTACCCATATCGTTACTGTAAATTGCCAATCGAAAGGTGATAGGTAATAATTTTTGAATTGCTATAAAAATGGCAAAAAAAATAATTTGACTTTATTTGAGAGTGGGAGAATACAAAATGTCACCGTTCAATTCATCACAGCATATACAGTTGATCATGACTGGTGTCAAAACATTTAACCTATTGATTAATTTCTTCAAACTTTCAGACTGATAGTTATAAGTTTGATATTTAAATTTGTTTATGTTTCATGGTATATCTGCCAAAGTAAAGTTTCGTCTTTTTAAATTGATAAAACTTTTGTTATAGATTAAACTTTCTTTTCTACTGGTGGGACACATCCATAAAGATTATGACCAACTGTTCAGCAGAATGAGCACAATGTTATGAAAAACAATTAACCTACTCTGCCAAATCTGCATAAAAGAATAAGATAATCATCAACACCTTCACCAAATGTGGAGCAGGAGTGTGTTTCAATGATCTCTCCTGTACATCTCTAGAATATCTTCTGGTGAAGAGTCTATAAAAATGAATCTGGACCTCTTCTGGAGATGTTTTGAAGAAGAAGCAAAAAAACATAGATTCAATATGCATGGCCTATGTTAGACGACTAAAGGTAACTCGGGTGTCTTCTACATTCTTTGATTGTAAAATAGCAGAAAACAATTGGTCTGGATCTTTAATGAAATGTGCAAATTTTGAGAGAAGAATGTAATTCATTTTTTAAGACTTTTATCTATTTGTGTTATTTAATCATATTTTTGCGACTGTTTATTACAAATGCAGAATTTTTTTTTTTGTTCAATTCAATTTTTTCAACTTTGCCGTATAAGGGGGGATAACTCAAATAAATAGCTATTGTACTGGAAAGTGTTATGAATTTATCTATTTTGAAGCAAGAAAACGAGTCCTTTGACCATATTTTTAGCTTACCGCGGCCCGAAGGGCCCCATGTGAGCTTATGCCATCACTTGGCGTCCGTCGTCGTCCGTCTTCTGTCGTTGTCGTAAACTATTTCAAAAATCTTCTTCTCTGAAACTACTAGGCCAAATACCTTCAAACTTTAACTGAACGTTCCTCAGGGTATCTAGTTTATAAATTGTATCCGAAGTTTTGATCCATCAACAAACATGGCCGCCATGGCTAAAAATAGAATATAGGGGTCAAATGCAGTTTTTGGCTTATATCTCAAAAACTAAAGCTTTTAGAGCAAATCTGAATTTGGGTAAACATTGTTCAATTGGTCAAGATCTATCAGCCCTGAAATTTTCAGACGAATCGAAAAACCCATTGTTGGGTTGCTGCCACTAAATTGGTTATTTTGAGGAAATTTTGCAGTTTTTGGTTATTATCTTGAATATTATTGAAGATAAGGATAAACTGTAAACAGCAAAAATTTTCAGTGAAGTAAGATCTACAAACAAGTTTTATATGACCAAAATTGTCAATTGACCCTTTAAGAAGTTATTGCCCTATAAGGACAATTTTACACAATTTGTTTGTTTTCTAACTATAAAAATCTTCTTAATGAATCAAGTATAAATTTTGTATTTTATTTCCTTGTACGTCAAGAAACAAAGCCATTATGGCTAAAATGGAACATATGGGTAAAATGCATTTATTTTGCTTTTGAAGAAAATATGACAGATACAAAGAACATTTAAATGGCATTTTTAAGCCACTCATTAATATATATTAAAAAGCAAAAATAATAATTGATGAAAGATTTAAGCAAACAAATAACAGGTGAGCGATTCAGGCTCTTGGGAGCCTCTTGTTTCTTTTTATATTTTGAAAGCTCATTATAAGAGCTATCTTCTCATATTGTATCTTAAATTCTATGGTTTAGTTTCTTTCTATCACATAGAATTGTGTTTTCTATGAATTACCTATACAAAATCTGACATTTCGCACAATCTGTAGCTTAAAACCATACGTTTTATGATATATTTGAGAATGCCATAATATAAACTACATTTTGTCAAATTATTAAAACACTCTAGGGATTTTAATTTAAACCCCCATCTACCTTAACCAGTGAAGTTTCTGATGATTTTTAAAAAAATTAAGTTACGTTAGCTCATTCGAAAGACTCTACTGTAATTGTTGTAATTATATATGAGTGTAAAAACAAGGTTTACAAAGAATATTGGTTGGAATAAATCGGTGTGTTTTTTGCATTTTGTCTTTATTCTTTCCTAACTTAATTTATCTAAACAAATGGGACTAAAAGCTCCGACCATTTGATTTTCAGAAATAATCTTAAATTGTATAAGAATCTGTCCGTGTTTGTCTAATGTTTGGTAAAAAAAGACATTTTTTTATCAAATAAGTTTAAAGTGACCAAACTAGATTATGTGTGTATATAAAAAATATAAACGACTTTTAAACTCGTGTCTTGCATTCCTAATGTGGTGTAGGCTAAACGATGCTAGTATGTTTGTCATGTGCCTCTGCCGTCTAAGCTACCTATTTAAAAGGAAGAGATAGAGGAGAGACGGAAGATCTTCCGAATGCAAAACACCAGAAATGGACCTCTTCTGGTTCACTACCGACGAACAAAAATAATAATACTGGACTGCATATTCAACTTTAAAGACCAACTCATTAATCTTAACCGATGTGATGGTATCAAAGCTTCAATTTTTTTTAATATGCGAAGGATGAACCAAAGTACTGACAGTACAAAGAATACAACGTTTATACATAGGTTGTTGTTTTTGATTTTCGAATTTGCGAAGGATGATCCAGTGTCAAGATGCCAATTAAAGATTGGCCCTTGGATTATGAAGATACCAGCCATCACGAGTTGGTTGACCGTCATGGAATATCTATATCATAGATGACGACGGATATGTTCCAATTGTCATCCCACAATCCAAATATATGCAAAACTATGGTCCATTGTTTATTACTTAATTTGCACTTTAACACTTAAGACATAGACATTTATACTTTCAATTAGACATGCAAAAAAAATATAGAAAACACAATCAAATATATCAGCAATTTACAGATATAAAAACATATTTTGCTGAGGATTACAAAGACCGTAATTGCGATATTTATTCATTCACGCAATAGAGGGCATTTCTTTTCATGTTTTATAAAGATATGACTTCTCATTGCATTGGAACATCCATTTTCCCACGGCAAAAATTTATGTTCCTATGGGAAAAAGGATGTTAACAGTGGTTATGCCCCTTACAGAAACATAAAATCTCTTCGATCGAATTGTAGAAAAGTTGCGCCTGGATGACCCAAACAGTTTCCACTATCCAAGACTTCTGTAAGTATAATGGTTTCTGACATTATCCCATAAGGTATAATGTCAACCTAAAAATTTGACCTTGGTGCATTTTCAAGGGCGCATAAATTGATAATCATTGAAGATCCTAGGTGTCTACGACTTACGGTTTCTGAGTTTTAGTGGCATAATCCTATCAAGAAGTCTTTGGCGGAAGAATAGTATTAATTAGAAAAATACAGTATTAGGTCTTTTCCTTTTGGAATACAGTAAGGTCTTTCCCTTTTGGGAAAAGAAAGACCTTGATAATATTCAGAAGAAATACAATTAAGTCTTTCCATTTTGGAAAAGGAAAGACCTTAACTTTTGGTCACTATTTAGATCTATTATAACACAGTACAATCTGATTTTGCATACTATCAATGACATGATAATTATATGACCTCTTCGTTATTTGCATTATCCTAATGCTTTGACATCATCACGATAAATTGTATTATCAGGTCACAACAGAGGGGTGGACAGGGGGTACCTTTCTCCCGGGCCTTTCTCCCACCTCCCACTTTTAGAATCCTTTTTTCTCTCCCACCTCCCTCAATAGCTGTCCACCTCCTCACAACAGAGACAAAAAAAATCAAAATAGAGAAAAGTGAATCGAGTACACCATATCTGCTTGAAAAATAAAAGACGCGAATATAAGTTGCACTCCCCTTTCCTTCCGTGCTCTTCATCACAAAGATCTCACTGGTTCTGGTTATGAGTTTGGGTTAGTCGTTCCATCTTAACTTTTTCATCAAAAAAACAAACAGTGCAATTATACAATGAGCGTTACTTAGGGTAAGTATAACTTTTAAAACATGTCTGCAATCTAAAATGGTTGTCTGAGTGATAAACGATTCCGGCATATCTACATAACGGATGACGTAACACATATGTCAAACAGTCAAATGAACTACATTGTACACATATCTAACATGATACATGAGTATTGTTATTGGCTTTTGCTTAATCAGTATAATCAGCCTTTGTATGTTTTACTAACTATTAAATGAATATGAATAATGACCAATGTAGTTCTGAGGGTTAAAGAGATTACATACTTTAGGTATATAATTGATTGATTGATTGATTACCCCCTCTTTGTTGTCAGAGACATGTCACTTTCAGCACAATTGGCTATTGTGGTAGGCAGTTATTTTTGGTGTAGGTGTCATATGTCCAGGGGAACTTCTGTTAGGCGGAACAAATATACATCGACAGAGGAAGCAGGAGTGCCTGGAGAGAGAGAACACGACCTTTGGCAGGAAAACTGACAATCCTAGTCAATTAAGATTGGAGTCAAGCATACCTGCCACTACAGGAATAGAACTCGAAACCTAAGTGTTGACATGCTAGTGATACAGTAGTTGGACTACTAAGATCGCTCGTCTACCGAAGTATATGTAAAATTGCTATATTAATTATTTCAACTTGTACAATTGCATGACATGTATATGTTACAGTAAGTTTGTATAATTAGGGTTTATGTGTAATCACTGGTAACTTTAGTGATTAAATATAATCACTTAAATTTTCAGGAATTATGCATAATCACTAGAAAAATGTCAGGAATTATGCATAATCACTAGAAAAATATCAGGAATTATGCATAATCACTAGAAAAATGTCAGGAATTATGCATAATTACTAGAAAATGTAAGGGATTATACATAATAACTGGAATGAAGAGACAGTGAATAAGAGTTAAATAATTTATATAGAATCATATTTAAACATCTTTAGCAACATAAATATTAAAATGGTAAGCAGAATATTCTAATACATTAAAATCATTTATTTTTACAAACTACATTGTAAATTTGGATACATCTACAACTATGTATTGCAATTTTGCTCTATTTTTGTCGAGCCTTCGACTTTAGTCGAAAAAGCGAGACATAGCGATCCTACATTCCGTCGTCGTTGTCGTCGGCGGCGGCGTCCACAAATATTCACTCTGTGGTTAAAGTTTTTGAAATTTTGATAACTTTCTTAAACTATCCTAGATTTCTACCAAACTTGAACAGAAGCTTGTTTATGATCATAAGATAGTATCCAGAAGTAAATTTTGTAAAAATAAAATTCCATTTTTTCCGTATTTTACTTATAAATGGACTTAGTTTTTCTGCCGGGAAATATTACATTCACTCTGTGGGAAAGTTTTAAAAAATTTAATAACTTTCTTATACTATTTTGGATTTGTACCAAACTTGGACAGAAGCTTGTTTATGATCAAAAGCTAGTATCTAGAAGGAAATTTTGTAAAAAAATAAATCCATTTTTTCCGTATTTTACTTTTAAATGGACTTAGATTTTCTGCCAGGAAACAACACATTCACTCTGTGGTTAAAGTTTTTAAAATTTTAATAACTTTCTTATACTATTTTGGATTTGTACCAAACTTGGACAGAAGCTTGTTTATGATCAAATGCTAGTATCTAGAAGGACATTTTGTTTTCTTCCAGTTAACATTACATTCAGTCGATCTGCATTTAAAGTTTTTAAACATTTATTAGATTCATAAACTATCCTGGATTTTTACCAAACTTGGACAGAAGCTTCTTACAATCAAAAGATAGTATCAAGAGGAATATTTTTATTGATTTACTTCCTCATTATTGTTGAGCCTGCGATTAACAGAAAAAGTAGGCGAGACACTGGGTTCCGCGGAACCCTTACGAATTTTTTGATAATTCAGTGGTTGTCTTTTGTTGCTGTGTTACATATTTGTTTTTCATTCATTATTTTGTACATCAATTAGGCCATTAGTTTCCTCGTTTGGATTGTTTTACATTTGTCATTTCAGGGCCTTTATAGCTGACTATGCAGTATGGGCTTTGCTCATTGTTGAAGGCTGTATGATGACCTATAGTTGTTAATTTCTGTGTTGTTTTGTCTATTGTGGAGAGTTGTCTCATTGGCAATCATACCACATCTTCTTTTTATAATCATTAGAAACATCTGAAGTTGTGAAAAAAGTGAATCAGGCACTTCTAATTGATTCCTTGTGAAGGATCTGGGCAAATATCAAAACATTACAGCCAAAGTTAGCCTCCTCAAAAAGTGTAGGATCTGGGCAAATATCAGTATCAAAACATTACAGTCAAAGTTAGCCTCCTCAAAAAGTGTAGGATCTGGGTAAATATCTGTATCAAAACATTACAGCCAAAGTTAGCCTCCTCAAAAAGTGTAGGATCTGGGCAAATATCTGTATCAAAACATTACAGCCAAAGTTGGCCTCCTCAAAAAGTGTAGGATCTGGGCAAATATCAGTATCAAAACATTACAGCCAAAGTTAGCCTCCTCAAAAAGTGTAGGATCTGGGCAAATTGGCCTCCGCAAAAAGTGTCGGATCTGGGCAAATATCTGTATCAAAACATTACAGCCAAAGTTGGCCTCCTCAAAAAGTGTAGGATCTGGGCAAATATCAGTATCAAAACATTACAGCCGAAGTTGGCCTCCTCAAAAAGTGTAGGATCTGGGCAAATATCAGTATCAAAACATTACAGCCAAAGTTGGCCTCCTCAAAAAGTGTAGGATCTGGGCAAATATCAGTATCAAAACATTACAGCCAAAGTTGGCCTCCTCAAAAAGTGTAGGATCTGGGCAAATATCAGTATCAAAACATTACAGCCAAATGTGGCCTCCTCAAAAAGTGTAGGATCTGGGCAAATATCAGTATCAAAACATTACAGCCAAAGTTGGCCTCCTCAAAAAGTGTAGGATCTGGGCAAATATCAGTATCAAAACATTACAGCCAAAGTTGGCCTCCTCAAAAAGTGTAGGATCTGGGCAAATATCAGTATCAAAACATTACAGCCAAAGTTGGCCTCCTCAAAAAGTGTAGGATCTGGGCAAATATCAGTATCAAAACATTACAGCCAAATGTGGCCTCCTCAAAAAGTGTAGGATCTGGGCAAATATCAGTATCAAAACATTACAGCCAAAGTTGGCCTCCTCAAAAAGTAGGATCTGGGCAAATATCTGTATCAAAACATTACAGCCAAAGTTGGCCTCCTCAAAAAGTGTAGGATCTGGGCAAATATCAGTATCAAAACATTACAGCCAAAGTTAGCCTCCTCAAAAAGTGTAGGATCTGGGCAAATATCAGTATCAAAACATTACAGCCAAAGTTGGCCTCCTCAAAAAGTGTCGGATCTGGGCAAATATCTGTATCAAAACATTACAGCCAAAGTTGGCCTCCTCAAAAAGTGTAGGATCTGGGCATATATCTGTATCAAAACATTACAGCCAAAGTTGGCCTCCTGTAGGATCTGGGTAAATATCAGTATCAAAACATTACAGCCAAAGTTGGCCTCCTCAAAAAGTGTAGGATCTGGGCAAATATCTGTATCAAAACATTACAGCCAAAGTTGGCCTCCTCAAAAAGTGTAGGATCTGGGCAAATATCTGTATCAAAACATTACAGCCAAAGTTGGCCTCCTCAAAAAGTGTAGGATCTGGGCAAATTCAGTATCAAAACATTACAGCCAAATGTGGCCTCCTCAAAAAGTGTAGGATCTGGGCAAATATCAGTATCAAAACATTACAGCCAAAGTTGGCCTCCTCAAAAAGTGTAGGATCTGGGCAAATATCAGTATAAAAACATTACAGCCAAAGTTAGCCTCCTCAAAAATGTAGGATCTGGGCAAATATCAGTATCAAAACATTACAGCCAAAGTTGGCCTCCTCAAAAAGTGTAGGATCTGGGCAAATATCAGTATCAAAACATTACAGCCGAAGTTGGCCTTCTCAAAAAGTGTAGGATCTGGGCAAATATCAGTATCAAAACATTACAGCCAAAGTTGGCCTCCTCAAAAAGTGTAGGATCTGGGCAAATATCAGTATCAAAACATTACAGCCAAAGTTGGCCTCCTCAAAAAGTGTAGGATCTGGGCAAATATCAGTATCAAAACATTACAGCCAAAGTTGGCCTCCTCAAAAAGTGTAGGATCTGGGCAAATATCAGTATCAAAACATTACAGCCAAATGTGGCCTCCTCAAAAAGTGTAGGATCTGGGCAAATATCAGTATCAAAACATTACAGCCAAAGTTGGCCTCCTCAAAAAGTGTAGGATCTGGGCAAATATCAGTATCAAAACATTACAGCCAAAGTTGGCCTCCTCAAAAAGTGTAGGATCTGGGCAAATATCAGTATCAAAACATTACAGCCAAAGTTGGCCTCCTCAAAAAGTGTAGGATCTGGGCAAATATCAGTATCAAAACATTACAGCCAAAGTTGGCCTCCTCAAAAAGTGTAGGATCTGGGCAAATATCAGTATCAAAACATTACAGCCAAAGTTGGCCTCCTCAAAAATTGTGTTTGATCAAAGAAGGATGTGTTCTGTCTATTTTTCTGTACATTCAGTTGAATTAGTTTGATAAGTTTGAATTCCTTGTTCATTGAAACACAGAAAACATAAAACTGATTTTCATTAACCTTCATCGCCATTTGTTTAACAGCATATTACATGCACTGTGCTTGTACATTTAGTACATGCATTTGACACTGTTTGGCAAATGTGTACTGAGTTATCACCATCATTGAGAATGTTGGTATTATTAATTTTGATTTTAAATATTTTTTTGTTTATGAGTTAATGTGGTTCAACACTATATAAATAACACATATCTGTGAGGGTGATAGAGCAGATTGTTACCCCGAGAAAACATTGTCAACTGAGGCGAAGCCAAGGTTGACAATGTCTTTTCGAGGGGTAACAATCTGCTCTATCACCCTCTCAGATATGTGTTATTTAATTTATTATACTGAATGTTCTGTTATTACTGTCGATTAAATTTCAAATTCAAAGTAATAAACTATGACGTCTTGTACATAACAACCATCCATATTTAATAAAGCGCACACTTGATCAAGCGTCTCCGTGAAGGGTGATAGGGTATTTGCCATAGAATAGAGTCGTATTTAATAAAGGGCACACTTGATCAAGCGTCTCCATGAAGGGTAATAGAGTAAATTAACACCCACGTATTAGCCAATCAAAATATGGCATTTTAACGTGAAGTATAATAAAATAAAATGGCATATCATAGGAAAAACTGTTCACTAAAGATTTGATAAATAGACATTAGGAATGAAAACTGTCCTTTTTAACATTAAAGGGGTTATCAATACAAATGATTTATTTGTCCATATTTTATATATTTTCATCAAACAAAAGATCTTTGAATTATTGATAAACCCTGAAATCATATCAGGGAATTTGTAAAATAATTCTTAAAATTTTCAGTGATTATGTAAAATTACTGGCCATTTTCAGGGATTATATATAATCACTAATGATTTTAGTGATTATGCAAAATCCCAGATTATACAAATTCACTGTAACATATACAGTAAATCAAGATATTTTTTCTATAAAATTTTTGATTTTTACATGTGCAATGATTATCTCAAAATTACCTATTATATGGCTAGCAGGTGTCAAAAGTTTAATTACTATAACAATGGCCCCCTTATAAATGTTGACATAACAGGAAAAAGTCATATCAGTTGTTTTTGAATACTTTATTCAATTCAAACCTAATATTGTCATGTAAGACCCCGTTTACACTTATACGAAATTGAATCGATCTTTATTTGAATCTATCTTATAAAGACCAGTTCGCGTTTACATTTGCACAAGCAAGATCGATCAAGATCGATCTTATTTAATCCAGTGCGTTTACCCTTCAACATAAAAAGAACCGGTCTGACATTATTACCTTATATTTCGTAAACAAATAATCCTAAAAATAGAATATCAAAGGAAATTCTGCATCTCGCACACACTGCAAAATGATGTAGAAAATAGTTTGCTCATTGGGATTTCGTGTGGATTAAATACTTATTATTTTGCTTCATACATCACAAGTCATTAAACAAAGACGTGTGTAGACTATCGCTAAAAAACGAACGGTCAATACGTTTGAAGATGAGGATTTGCAGCAAAGAAATAGAACTTATTGATTTAGAAGATAATCCGAAAACAGTGGGATCTATGTTTACATTTCTTATTCCAATCATCGTTTTGAAACACGTGTGTTTTTGCTGCCGAACATGCGCAGATTTATTTTCATATCTAAATATAACATTCACCTGAAAAAAGATCGATCGCGATCGATCTAATCGTTTACACTTGAAGAAAGATCGATTCAAATAAGATCGATCTTTTTAAAACCACCTCTGGAGGTAGACTTTTTAAGTCCGATTGAAGATCGATCTTTCCCGTTTACATTAGACCAAAGATCGATCTTTTTTGCTAGTGTAAACGGGGTCTAAATCAACGTATATGATTTGTGACTAAAACCTGGGAACAGTATATCTAATCAATATATATGTTCCTGCTAAAACAAACAAAACATAGTATAATATAAATGACAAGAGGACAAAATGTATAATAAATAAACTAATTAAAACATATATCGTATAATAGTTTATAATTCAAATACTGTTTAAAACAATGAATTAATTCCTGACAACAGCAGGATAAAAATCTTCTAAATGCAGAAAATTGAAAGTTTGAAGGATCTATATTCTAACAGTTGGACAGTTCGTCTGTATACAGGTGTACGAGTGTTAAATTCATTTGTAATATGTATCCTTTCAGGTGGAAAGACCAGAGGTTTTCACAATCCATTGGAGTGTTTTCTGCCATGATATGAAAAATACACAAAATAGCTATAAAGAACTGTAATCAACTGGAGAAACTCAAACTGGTGACGTCATGAAACAGGTTTATACATTTATGAAGTTTATGGTTGCTATGATGATGAGACCAATGAGATATGACTTTATAACATTTAACATTGGAATTAGGAAAAAAAGGAGTTATATGTTGTAAAACCTCTGAGTGAATGTGCATAAGATCACCAAAAATAGATATTTATAGGTCACATTTTGTCTTCAATGATAGAAAAGTCCACACACCATGTGACAAGCTTTAAATTAGCATAAATATAAAGTTTTTTGAATTTATTAGGTTCAACTGAATATCTGACATCCACACTAAATTCCTAATTGAAGAAAAATTCTGCTGACTTGGTTAGAACCTGAGAGTTGGAAGCCAAAGAAAAGGTAAACATTTGACAAAGCAGTCTCTATTAAATGTTACTATGTTCTTAACTGTGCAATGAAAGCATGACTAGACCAAATATTTCTAGCATTGTTGTCCTCTCACTATTGATGACCTCAAAAGGTTATTGGCCTTTAGGCAATGCAGAATCACAGATAGGACATGTCACATCACACAGTCATTTTTTGTCTCGCCTTCCCAGAATGTGTGACGGAGATTACGATGGTGTAAACTATTTGTATGAAGCTTTATATTTCAAAAGATATAAGACCTGGATGCTCGCTTCATACCTTGTATGCAGTTACAAAGTTGTAGGATAACTATATTTGGTATATGACCTCTTGCAAGGTGGGGCCTCCGTGGCTGAGTGGCCTAAGTAACCTAACTACTGTATCACCAATCTGTCAACACTGAGGTTGTGAGATCAAATCCCTCACGTGGCAGGTGTGCTCCACAGCAATCTTAAGTGACAAGGATTGTCAGTTTTCCTACTGAATGTCTTGGTTCTCTCCGGGCACTTGGGGTTCCTCCACCAATAAAAACTGACCCCCACGAAATAGCACAATAGTGTTAAAAGTGGCGTTAAACACCAATCAATCAAATCAATCCTTGCAAGGTCTACAGTCTCAGACAGGGTTCACCTGACCTTGACCACATTTTATGGATTAGTGATCACGCTTAAGTTTACATGGTCAAGTCTGTATCTCAGATACTATAAGCAATAGGCCAACTATATTTGGTGTAAGAAATGATTGAAAGGTTTTCATGTCTGCCTGGCAGGTTTCATCTGACCTTGACCTCATTTTCATGTTATATAGTGGACAATGTTTAGTTTTTGTGGTTTTGTCTATTTCTCAGATACTTAAAGCAATAGGCCTCTTTATTTGGTGTATGGAATGATTGTAAGGTGTACATGTCCAACTGGCAGATTTCATCTGACCGTAACCTCATTTTTACGGTTCATTTGTCTGTTTTCCAGGTACTATAAGCAAATGTATTTGGTGTATGGAATGAAAGGTGTACATGTTCGTCTCGCATGGTTTATCTGACCTTGACCTCATATTCATTGATCATTGATAATGTTCAGTTTATGTGATACTTGTAGTAAAATCTTCATATAACACACTTTCAACATAAATTCAATAATTAGTAAAGCAGTCAAGATTTTTCAGCGTGTGCACTCATGCCTATTGTAATTACATTGTATTGGACCAAATAATGACCTCCAGACTGTTTATTTCTGAACATCTATCATTTTTATATGTGAATGGGATTCAAAACAGTTTAGTATTCATTTATATTTTAGAGTTATCTCTCCTGAATTGGTCACGAAGAAAGATTTTTTAATTTATTTTTAAAAATTTATTTATATAAAGAAATTAAAAGAATGCAGAAATAAATAACCAGTTTGAAGAAATGAAAATTATATACATGTATACTATGTTATATACCTAATATTCATAAAGAAAAAAATGTACTGATGTCTCTTATGGACTCTTAGACTATTTCATTTACCACAAATCTAATTAAAAATTGAAGGCATTGATAAATACAAGGAATTTAAAGGGAAAAAAGAAATAAAGTTTTACAGATATATACAATTATATTTTAAGAGAGTTTATTTCAATTTGACTTGTTATATCTGGAGCATTAATATCACTATGTTAAAGTTTTGGGGGATGGACACTGAAATGATTTTTAGGCAGTTAAGCTGCCTTATGCGAGCACCCTAGATTTGTGTTCTACCCAATAAATGCTGAAATACGTGCCAATGTTATTATCTAGCTGGCTATTATGTTATTTATAACTAATTGGACATTTTTTTAATACTTTTATTTCTGGAATACAAAAAATATGACCAGAAAAACCTTAAATGATCGTCGAACTACCCAAAACTTTTGAAGTTGCACATAGGAAGTAGTGCTCAATAGAAATCCGTACGTAGTTTATTATCCCCTGTGCTTTAGGCTACGATGTCAAAGAACAATTGTATGAAATATTTCATTGCCAAAAATCGGTAATTACAAGTCGTTTATATTTCCCAAATGGCAAAATGCGCAGGAATATTGATCATGTACAACAAATCTCTATGATAGAGGAAATAAAGTTATATAAATGGGTGGTAATTTCTAACTTATCTTGCCAAATAAGGTTGTTGTTATTTATGAATGAAACGATGAATGAAACGAGGTCAGGAAAACAGATGCAGAAATCGACGTTGATGGGATGTTTTAAGTAATGTGGACAACTCGTCCCCGAGACAAGTCGGACCGAATCCACTCAAACCGTCTAAGAAGACAACTTTGACCGTTTGTCAGATTTACTTAGGGTTTCATAAAATATTAGACTAACATGTCTAGCGGAGCCATTTATCTTTTGTTTGTGCATTGGGGTCTATTTAGGGGTATTTGGAGGGGCCTGAAGAAGGGAGGGGTTTACTATAGAACCCTATGGGATTTTATTTTTTTTAATTTTCAAATGACTTTTTCTCGAAAACAGTAGGTGATAGACACATGCAGTCTTCAGTAATGAGAACAGGACAATACAAAAAATCAACCAAAATATAAGGTGAGTCCCTGGGGGTCATCCTTACCCCCTTCAATTTGAAAATGTACTTTTATCTTGTAAACCGTCGCGATCCCCACCCCTAAACAATATATATATACTTGAATGGGACAATAAAAGAAATCAATGAAAATAATTTGGGGGAGTCCCCAGTGTCGTCCCACCCCTCCTGTTTGAGAACTTGGAAATGGTCAAGATCCCCACCTCTAAATATATATATTCATGTATGGGACAATAAAACCAATCAAAAATGAAATATAGAGTGAGTCCCTGGGGTCACCCCACCCCCTCCTGTTTGAGAACTTGTAAACGGTCGAGATCCCCACCCCTAAACCATATATATTCATGTATAGGACAATATAACAAATCAAATGAAATATATTGGGAGTCCCTGGGGTCACCCCAACCCCTCCTGTTTGAGAACTTGGAAATGGTTGAGATCCCCACCCCTAAACCATATATATTCATGTATGGGACAATAAAACAAATCAAATGAAATATAGGGGGAGTACCTGGGGACAACCACGCCCCTCCTGTTTGAGAACTTGTAAACAGTCAAGATCCCCACCCCTAAACCATATATATTCAGGTATGGGACAATATCACAAATCAAATGAAATATATGGGGAGTTCCTCGGGTCACCACACCCCTCCTGTTTGAGAACTTGGAAATGGTCGACATCCCCACCCCTAAACCATATATATTCATGTATGGGACAATAACACAAATCAAATCAAATATAGGGGGAGTCCATGGGGACACCCCACCCCCTCTTGTTTGAGAACTTGTAAACAGTCAAGATCCCCACCCCTAAACCATATATATTCATGTTTGGGACAATATAACAAATCAAATGAAATATTTGGGGAGTCCCTGGGGTCACCCCACCCCCTCCTGTTTGAGAACTTTGAAATGGTCGAGATCCCCACCCCTAAACCATATGTATTCTTGTATGGGACAATATAACAAATCAAATGAAATATAGGGAGAGTCCCGGGGGTCACCCCACCCCCTCCTGTTTGAGAACTTGGAAATGGTCGAGATCTCCACCTCTAAACCATATGTATTCATGTATGGGACAATATAACAAATCAAATGAAATATAGGGTGAGTCCCTGGGGTCACCCACCCCCTCCTGTTTGAGAACTTGTAAACGGTCGAGATACCCACACCTAAACCATATTTATTCCTGTTCATCATTTCAAAAAGATTTGAATGACATACAGGGTCAATCTCCTTGGTGTCACATATGCATATCACTTTACTAGACCAAACCAATATGAACTGGACTTTGCCCAATGTCAGGAGACCATGGGAATGACGAATTATGGGGGCTTTGTTTGGGAGACTTCGACCGTAACGGCATCTTGTTACAATTATTTCTTGTTAATTATAAATTTTTTTTTATCAAAAAAATGAGTCTAGATTATTGAATTTACTTTAATTGTTTATTAAATTATTTCTGGGCCTATAATAATTTTCATTTATGGCCCATTTTAAAGAAAACATATAAATCTTTCAACCAGTGTAAAGCCCGAGAATAATTGACCAACTGTTTTATAATCACCTGTCATTTTATTCCAAACTTGGAGTAACATCATGCACTTGGGGGTGAAGATGTGAGTCATTTACATTGATATACGAGTTGCTTTTGAAAACCTTGATGAAATATTAATTAATTTGCCTTAATAATCAATTCATTTAATGAACATAAATGTACAATATACGAATGTTTAATGTTTGTTCTTTCAAATCTTAAAAAAAAATTGAAGCAACATTGCCACAGTTTTCATAATTACGTTTGCCTTGGTTTTTGGTTAACTGCCTACAGCGCTTACAGTGCTTTGATTGTCGAGCCTGCAACGTTTATGTCGCAAAATAAATAGCCGTCGACGGCATCAACATGTAGGTTCAGTCTGTGGTTAAAGATTTTTTAGACATCAATAACTTTGTCAAACTTTCATGGAATTTTAGGAAATTTGGACAGAAGCTTGTTTATTGACCATAAACATCATACAGAGCAAAATTTTGGAAATATTTAATTTCATTTTTCTGTATTTTACTGATAAATGGACTTAGTTTTTTACAGTTAACATTCAGATTTAGTCTGAGGTTAAAGTTTTTCAATCATCAATAACTTTGTCAAACCTTCATGGATTTTTATGAAATTTGGACAGAAGCTTGTTTTTGACCAAAAGTCAGTATCCAGGAATTTTTGCCCTGGATACTGTCTTTTGGTCATAAACAAGCTTCTGTCCAAATTTCATAAAATATGGCAAAATTTTTCCGTATCTTACTGATAAATGGATGTTAAAGTTTTTCAGTCATCAATAACTTTGTCAAACCTTCATGGAATTTTAGGAAATTTGGACAGAATCTTATTTATGACCAAAATACAGTATTCAGAGCAAAATTTGGGAAATATTTATTTTTCGT